TCTTTTTGTATCTCACTGCTCACTACACAATTTTTTTTTAAAAGTAGCGCACTATAATACAAACTACGAAAAAAAAAATGCTGTAGTTTCACTACTCTTCTTACGACCACTGATTATGATCGCAGTTTCCAGTAGAAAGTAGGCGTTACTTTTCACAACATTTGTTACATCATATAAAACGGCAAGCGTAGTGAATGATATTTCGAGAAATTCTGTGAATTCCGTAAGAATCTCCGACAAACATACTGTTGTACGTCATAATTCCAGCAATGTAAATCTGAGCTTCTAACACAGAAAGTAACAGTCTCCATAATGTTCAAAGTGACAGTGAAATTTCAGTGAAGTCAACGTTTTCCATATTGGTGTTCCACGAGTTCAAATTGATTTCGAGTTCAAATGATTTTTGAAACTTGTAGTTATATTTATAACAATACAATAAACCATAATTTCTTTGAGAATTTGGTTATTTTTATAAAATTATTTAAGTGAAATTCCTGTTAAAAAATGGCAAAGTCTTTAGAAGAAATTTCATTAGTACAAATTTCTCGTCGAATTTTTCAATTCAAAATATAACGTCCAAATTCAAGAATAACGAATTATGTTTCTCTGATAACTATTCTCAACATTTATTAAAGTTATTATTTTAAAAGCAGAATTCAGCTTATTTTATTCATTTTCAGATAATGTATGCACCAAAAACAAGTTCGAACTACTCTAGATGCCATTTCATGTCTGCAAATTTAAATTTTCGACATAAATTCTATTGTTTTTAAGAATTTCTATGGATTGATCGATTATTGAAAGACGTTTCATTCCTTATAATATATATTACAGTGTTCCCCCGGGCTTGAGAGTTTTTTTTATTTTTAAGAGGTAGCAAAAGTGTGATAAATCTAAATATTTAATTTATAGGAAATAATAATATTTAATTTATTATTTAATAGGAAATATATATAGGTGCAAAAAATAACTCTGGAATAATTTTGTAATTTACAGATAGAAAATAAATGTAAGCATTTTTCGTGGGAACCCTGATATTTTACTTTATAACCGTCGTTGAACAGCCGACCCAATTTCTTGGGTTTACGACTTCTAATGTTTGACTCCGTAGCCTTGTAATTTTGAACCCTATCCAGAAGATAGGGGAACTCCTGGATCAAGTATTGGAAGAAAGTTGCCTTCTTGGAAGACTTTTTGATTTAACTAAAACGCATTTGCGTTACATGGAGAGGAAAACCACGAAAACCTCCGACTGTTAGCCTGATGGCAAAAGGACTCTAACCCATGATCAGTCTACCACTGAGGATATTTTACGTCAGCACTGTGGTCGGTACAACCTGGATGCGGCATTCGTATCGACCAACCATCACTGAGAATCGAATAAGGTTCACCTCATTGGAAGGCGAACGCTTTTTCCCCAGAGCCATAGCGGCTGTATATTGTTGTTTGCGCTGTCCATATATTAGGCCATACCTGCCAACTTTCACTCTTTCCGAGAATGGATTTTCAGAGTGGTTGTAAAACAACAAACGAAAAACAATCTGACTAAAGAACATATTTCTATTTTGATCCCGTTGAAATTCGCTTGTGCAAGAATTATTATGCTTTTATATATTTATTGTAATTATTTATAAGTAATGGTGGTCAAACTCATTTATAATTATCATTATAATTCAAAAAGTTAATTGAAATAACCTGTGTATTGCTACCACTTTAAATATGAAAATAAAATCTTCCCGAAAATCTGGAAGAGTTGGCAGGTTTGCGTTAGGCTACATGCTTAGCCATGTCATTATCTTATCTCTTTGAGCCATGCCAAATCCTGAGCAGACGTGAAAAGAGAAAATACTGGTAGAAGAACTATTTCAATATTCGGGAGGAGTTAATCTATTCTCAACAGTAACAATTCACTGTAAGGAAATTCATCACGACTTAGACTTAGACTGAGTTCTTCTTCGGAGTCCCTATCCGCGAAGCGGACACTTCACTACTTCAACTAAAATAGTGCCCGTGGGCGCCTGTCGTACTGTCTTTAGGTAAAAATTAAAGACTGAAGTAGATGTAAAAGATGGTGACTGGGCTGCGTAGTCGGCATGGTGGAGTAGTGATGCTCACTAAGACTTGTTCTCGGGTAGTAGGGATCTGAGAAGCTGCACTAGCTCCTCGTTCTGAAGTAGGTCTTGCAGCTCTTGGAAGATCTGCAGGAATCGGTTGGCTGAATCAGTAGCANGAACCAATCCATGACTATGGAATACATTACGTTATTAAATGCACGTTGCACACAAGATAATAACTGAAGAACTGATATGCATGTTAATGCATCTCTGCTCCTTTTATAGCTAATATTATTGACGAAACATATTAAACACATAATATTTTTCCCAAAAAGTGCTCGAGATAGTCGATTTTTGTTGAATGAGAGCAGAGATGCCAACTTGCTCCGAAAAGCAAATATCTATTTTAAAGTGGTAGTTTATTAATTGTGATTCTTGGTTTAATGAATTCAATTTAGTGGATTTGTTTCCACCACTATTTCTAAATAATTCGTAGACTTATACATTTCACCATTTTCGTACTAACGTCATGCTATACCTCTTAAAAAGCAAAAATAAATAGTCAAATATTTGCAAAATTTAGTTTGTAGTTATTTACCGTTTTTTTAAAATTATTTTGGCGTGTCTGGAGCAGTTGGCATCTCTGTGAGAGCTGTGGTTTTCTTATGTATGAACGAGAGAGTTGCATACTCCGTCGTTGAACAGCTAACCCAATTTTTGAGTTCACGACAACTAGTGTTCAACTCCGTAGCTTTGAACCCAATCCAGAAAACAAGGGAACTCTTGGATCAAGTATTGGGAGAAATTTGCCTTCGTGGAGGACTTTTTGTCGGAATTAACCCACATTTACATTACAAGCCGAGAAAAACCACGAAAACCACATAAGGTTAGCCTGACGACAAGGGTACTCTAACCCATGATCCGTCTACCTCCGAGTATATTTTACGCCAGCACATTGGTCGGTGCGAGCCGGGTGCGGAATTCGCATCGACCAGCCATCGCTGGAATTCGAAACCGCTCCGCTCATTGGTAGGCGAACGCTCTATCCTCTGAGCCACCACGACTTTAAGTACCCCATTTTATATTATTTAATATTTTATAGCCATCGTTGAACAGCCGATCCAATATTTTTTGTTGTTTGCAACTACTCCGTAGCCTTGTAAATTTGAACAAAATCCAGATGACAACGGAACTCTTGGATCAATTACTGGGCGCGATTTGTTTTCGTGGAGGACTTTTTTGATAGAATTAACCCGCATTTGCTTTACATGAAGATAAAAACTACGAAAAACTCCCACAATGAGCGTGACGGCAACGGCTCTAACCCTGTCTATCACTGAGAATACTGTACGTCGGCACTGTGGTCGGTGCAAGCCGGATGGGGAATTCCTATTGACCAGCTATCGCTGGGATTCGTACCCGATTCACCTAATTGGAAGGCGGCGAATGCTCTATCCCCTCAGCCACGACGGATCTAAGTACATTATTTGAGGTTTGAATGCAACGACGATAAGGCTAAAACCTGGAATCTATAAAATGCTCCAATCCAAACAGCAGATCCGCTAAAATTAAAGGTGATCTATGACAGCGCCGAAAGTAATAAACAATAACACTAGAGAAAAAAAAATTTTGTTGCATTTATACAAGTACTTGATCTTATTTAATTCAAGAATGGGAATTAGATTTGAAATTAGTGTTTTGTTAGGAGAGCTACAGAATTTTTTTTTCTTCAAAATGACACTTTTAGTTTAGTTTAGTTTCGATCTGAATATAAAAGTTTATGAAGAATTGTATAGGTATATACACCGAAGATCCATTACATTATTACCACCCTGCTGATAATATGTAGGACCACCTTTAGCTCTCAAAACTTCTAGCGCCCGCCGTGGCATTGATTCCACAAGTTGCTGATAGGTAGTCTGAGTTATCTGGTACCACGCGCTCAGCAACTGGTCCTGCAATTCCCTCACATTGCGAGGAGGTAGCGTGGCAACACGAATTTGGTTTTCCAAATAGGACCACAAATGCTCTATTGGATTAAGGTCAGGTGAATTTGGGGGCCAAGATATGACTTGAAAGTCACTGGAATGTTCCTCGAACCAATCCATGACTATTCGACCCTTATGACCTGGNAATGGGTGCCTTTTTTTGAGCGCTTGATGCATGTCAACTGATATTTCGAATTTGTATATTTTTGAAGAGAATGAAGTTTTTTGGGCGAACCCATTGTTATAGATGGAGGGTGGTCATAATGTAATGGCTCTTCGGTGTATATACAATACTTGCAACTCCTTCGAATATAACACTTAGAGAAAAAAACATATGTCCTTAACGTATTGCGTATTGTATCATAACCTAAAATGTGTTATCGCTTTTTCCTATCACTCCCTACGTAGCTGCAGCAGCGAAGTGGAGATATTTAGTATTCATTTGAGTAAATATCAAAATATCATACTTCGGACAATATTATTGAATTGTATAAAAGCTGTAGAGAAGAACCTATTGCAGATTTGAAATCAGCGACGCGAAGATATTTAAGATCCATTCAAAAATCTCATACGACAAAATAAATAAAATTAAATAAAAATTGTACCATAGTGTAATCTTTATAAAAAAAAAAAATTCATGATACTATTACTTGCGGCGATGACGCAAAGGTTAAAGAAATAATCTGATGGACCGAGGATCTTACACAGTTTGTGGTTTGAAACATTTGATCTTGAAATTGAGGAGTACTATAAACAGTAATAGGGTACGCAGTACCCTTAACGTCAGTGGATAAAATTTAATTGTCTGGAAAACGAAGGCGGCCAGTCTGAAACGCTGACCATCATCATGACGTTGGTCACGAAATTGTATATTCCTAGCTTCCATTCTTAACTATCAAGTTGAGGCGGTATGGCTTCACTTTGTCTTACATACTCGTACAAAAAATAGAAACTTAGAGAACGTTATTAAAATTTTATTTAAATGTTACATAGTTGTATTTTTTTACTATTTCTTTTGTCTTCTTTCACGTCCATTAAAAAAGGCTTCTTTCAAAATGAAAATAAAATGAGCCTCTTTTGTCAACAAATAAACATGCATTTTCAATATTTTTCTTTCAAGACAGATCTGGCTGATATTATCGGTTCTTATTCTTCCGTTACAGACATTTTCCATCTGCTGTGCATTTCTGAAATAAAGAGTACAGTTTATTTCACAGGTGGAAGAAAAATGGTGTAGCAACAAATCATTATAAATTTGCGTCCCCAAAAGTTAAGTATATTTTACGATTATGCAAATCTGAGGCAGAATGGCAGGTAACGTGATTTGAGAAAACAATGCAAAAGAAGAATTTTAATTATCAAAAGAATCAGTTTGGAGAAAAATAGCTAAAGCGAACTTATTGTTTATGCGTAGTAAAAAAATTTTTTAACTACAGGGTTAGTTGGCTATTTCATAAGATGCATTGACATCCCTACAGCCACACCTGTTTCACAACGCTTATTTATGCCTGCGATAAGAGGGTGAATGAGTTGTGTCCTTAAAAGTAATAGTAGTACTTTATTTACGTAGCACTAGAGCTGCACAGAGGACAATTGGTTACGGTCTGGGTAGCTTCACTAAGGAGGATTCGAATACATGCAATCACAGTTTTGATTCTCTGCAGAGGGAATGGCTTCCCCGCATTGGTAGTCCGACAATCTGAGCGCGAAATGTGTTTACTTTACGGTAGAACGTTTTAACGTTAACCGATACCGTATATCCTCGATCTCAGGCTGATCAAAGTGGTCATTCACAGCTCACTGACTACAGCCAGTGATACTTGACTACGGTGATCTACTAGGAAAAGTGTCTTAGGATCAGTTCTCTGTGCGACTTGTTACTTTAAAAATGTTCGCGGTTTGTTCTTTTCGGTTCTGGAACAGAGTTTGGTGCGGAAGGGCAGTCTCCCAAGCATATCCCACTCATGCTCAGATTAAGATCAGGAAAGTGTGCGGGTCACTGCATGTGTTAAATATTTTAATTTCCAAACAAGTCGTCGACCATGATAGCGTGGTAACAAGGCACTTTATTATCATGAATATAAACCCAGGACCGACAGCATCTCGTCTCCAGGACTTTGTCGCTGTACATTTTAGCAGAAACAGACCTCGTGTCACAGATATGGCGGTCTGTTTTGCCAACCAACATCATGCCTGCCCACACCGTGATTCCTATTGAAGGAAAATGCTGTTTTCCCGTGTTGTTTGTTGGTTAATAACGGGTTTCATGTTCTCTCCAAATCGTTATCCTACTAGAATTAGTGTTTTGAGTATGTAGGGACTTGTCACGGAATTCTACGTTGGCAAACATCAGTACTGTGGTTTCAAACTCCAATTTAGACAAGCGAATTTATGTGCGAACGTGAGAGAAATGCGAAAGGCTTTTATCTTACAGTCCTGATGGACGGTAGTCTCCCGACATACCGTCCGGCAGGATGGAGTCTCCAATAACGATTGGCCTCGATACTCTTTATCCTGTGACAACTGAGAGAGTCGAACCAAGTTCTCTGGAGGACTGAAAGTAAGACACAAAAAGACACAAAAGACACAAAAGTATTTTCTTTGAATAAACATAACCGTTTTATAGACGGATTTGATTTTATTACCCCCATAATATAGGGGGTAGCCGTAATCTGGAACATATGATCCCCATAGTTTAGTCAGGAGAGTGATGCAAAGTTTGGTCCCCTTAATGCTAATTTTATTTTTTGCGTATTTCCCCATATCTGGAGAACTTTTCGAGCAAATTGAAAACTTTTTGCACACGTTTATAAAATTCGTTTGTTCAACGATAATTTAAGCGGAAAATAACTTTTCGTAAATATTTATTATTCTATTTAGCAATAGTCGAAGAAATTTTGAATAGCAAGATAAAAAAAATTTTGCATCACTTTAAAAAACTTAATTTCACATAATTAAATACAAAATTTGAGCGAAATCGATTTTTAAAAAAGTCATGTTTTTAATTTAATTTCTCAGAATAGCCAAGTAAGGGATAATACTCAAAACTCGGCAAACCTTGCGTTTCGCCGTTTCGCAAGAAAGGTTTAAACCCAAATCACGCATGATCATGTGATTGGGCCATACCTACAGCCAACAATCTTGGATGGCGATTCATAACATGTATTTTTGCCAGAATTATTAAACCGTGTCTCAGCACATATCATACGACGCATGTGGTTCCAACACGAAGTGGCACCAGCCCGTTAGAGTGTGAATGACTCAGATATCATGTATCCGGGCGATGGCATACCTGTCAACTTTTACGCATTTGGCGTAAAATTTTATTTTTATATTTAAAGTGGTAGTAAATCTATACTATTTTTCTCTTTTATAAACTTAATTTTTAAATGAGTACTTTTAATCACCACTATTCTTAAGAAAATTAAGCATATATATTAATATGCGTTACTATCATGATTGTCAGTACTATCAAAATACTATTAACTTTATCATACAACTCTACTTAAGAGGATCTCCCCATTCCAAAGATGATTTTCCCTTCAACTAAAGATTTACTTCTTTAACCCTTTCGCGCCGACTGTCACAAATACGTGACAGCATAAAACCATATCAATCAGGGTAAAAATATCAAACTGGTAATCAAAGTATTTCTTTAGCAGTTTATTTGAGGGCGGAGTTATAATTAATTGATTTATTTAATTCACCATTACTTTGTTCAAAATAAAACTATTTAGTTATACCTTGAATTAACATTGATTATATATATGATTAAACTAACAATAATTAAAGTAAAAGCAAAGTAAGTCTGTCAAATTAGAAACGACTACATTTAATTTACCGTTTTTTATTTAATTACAATTTGATTCTGATTTTGTACGAATGCTTTTCTGAATCACCCGTCCCCAAGGGGTTAAGGACTTGACTTGTTGTTACAACATACTACAACTTCAAAGATATATAGGACCTTCCAGAATACAACAAAACAGAATCGGTTAGTGGCGCTTCGCGCCAAACGCCGAGATAACCCCAATATCCAGCATCCAGCATCATGATTGTCAGCTTAAGCTTTTTCAAATACAACGTATTTTTTTGCTTAAAATTGAAATTTTAATTCCATTTTAATACCACTGGGAAAAACCATAATGGAAGGGATTAAAAGTTGGCAGGTATGCGATGGATAGGTGGTATGGGTCCAGTAAACCGGCCGGATCGTTTACTCGATTTATCATGGCTGGACAGCCCAGTATATACGCATACCTGCAAACTTTTAATCCTTTCGAAGATGATTTTCCCCAGTGGTAATAAAATAGAATTTAAATTACAATTTCAGGCAGAAGCATTACGTTGTATTTTTAATGAACTGAAGCGGATTACTTCAGGCTTAGGCTGAGATGTAGTACGAAGTACCTGCCCGCAGAGCGGACACTCCACTTCTTCGTCTGTGTTGATGCCCGTAGGCGACTAGAGTACTGTGTTTAGCAATAAAAACAAGAGAAATAGCAGAAGCACTGGTTGACGTAAGTTTATACTTGTTGTCGTGCTTATAAAAAGGACAAGTTGGGTATAATACTAGGGGTGGATACTCCCGAGTCGGCGATCACTTCACCTCCCTGGGAGTATCCATAGTTGGATGAGGGGAAATATTATTTATAGTGCCTTGAAAGAACACAATCTGACGATAGGAATGATGTTATTGGGTTATAAAGTCTCATACCTGGTATTAATTCTTTATTCAGGATCAGGATTTTTTGCTTTACTGAAGAATGAGATATTTAGCCTACTGATAAATTCATTGATAGTGCTGATGTTAAGGTCGTTTCTGATGGCACTGTTCGGAAGGATTACATCAACCACTTCACATTATGGTTAATTTTTTTAAAAATAGTGGTCATCATAAAGATTATAAATTAAGTTTATAAATGCAAGGAATGCACAGAAAGCATGTATTTTACTACCGCTTTAAATATATAAATAAAATTTTACACCAAATGCGTAAAAGTTGGTAGGTATGTATATAATATAAATACAATTTTGCAGACAAGTTAAAAAAAAATATTATGATAAAATAATTTTACCCCATCTTTATTATCTTTTGTACAGGCTGTATTTTTAGAAAGATTGATGGTTACTTGACTATCTTCATAATCACAAATCACCTTACAAGGTTGATCCTGAAAAAAATAATGAAATTTTGATAATGAAAATTTGAAAAAGTAATAAAAAATAACGAAAATATAATAATGAAATTTTAAATGATTTCTGTAGAAAATTTAATAAAGAAGACAGTTAAATCTTGATTAGAAAAAAAACAACAACATAGTTTTCCTTTTTCAGAAGTCTGGTACATTTACCCGACACTTTGTTGCTTGATACCTTTATTGCTCGACAACTCATTTTCTCGACAGGTACGTTTACCAGACAGATTCATCTGTCCAACAACTCTTTTGTTCGACAATACATTTGCTCGACAAAAATATTGCGAAAATCTTAACTGATTCATAGATATAATACATTGGAGAAATCATTAATTATTGAAAAATACTAATTATGTGTCGTTTGGGAACAGGGAAAAGGGACTCGTTACCTTTTAATGGCAGAGCCTGTTTTAGACATTTATAATAAAATACAAAAATACAAAAAGAATATAAAAAATCTATGAAACTAAAGGAATAAAAAAATCCAAATGGAGCAAGAAAACATAAACTATAATAAAACAGCAAAAATAATAATAAGTAAAAATTTTTATAAAAAAACGAACAAACAGAAAGAAGCCTTAAAAAAACGTATTAATTCTACCCAGAATTAATTATAATTCTAGAAGGTTTAAAAAATCCTTTAGAAAGCAGAAAAAAAGGCTTACAACATAATAATCATTAAATATCGTTGGCACTTTTTCTGCCATGGTTAGCACAGCCTTTTAAAAAATTTTAAGCAGTTCCCAAAAGAGAATTTTATTCTCATGTCCTTTACATGCCATCCCTGTCGGGCAAACGTACGTTTGCATAAAAATTCAATAAATTCTTTGTATATATTTATGTGTGTACTTAAGGTACGTTCATTGCTATGAATAACACTTATAAAATATGCTGATAAAAAACGGGCTAAATAGTGTGTTGATAATTGCAAAATCAAACAAACAATCGTCTCTGTGATTAAATACGCACTTTCTTTGACCAAATTTGATTTTGTACTCTTTACATATAGAAAGGGGAGATGCATTCTTGAAAATGTCATCTCAATATAGTAGTCAGAAAAATGTAGTAAAGAGTTTTAATTTCGGGTTATATGTTTGGAACTAATTGTGATGATTAAATAATAGGTACTCAACTATAAAATTAATTTTCTCAATTTAATATAACGTAGTTGGAAATATTTACATTCTACTACTACTACGTAATTATATTTATTACAAAACTTAATTTTTGAGAAAAATTTTTTTTGATAAAAATAGGATGAAAATGAACTAAAAATTTTAAAAATTCGTGTTTTTTCTTTCTCAAAACCATTTTACCTATTTCATAAAAATTTCTGATCATTTAAAAAAAAAAGGAGAAAAAAAACCCATTTGTCTTACCTTATATGTACTAACTCCGATGAGGTCTAAGTCTTTATTATTGTTTACGCAAGCTTTTCTATCCTCCTCATTCGGGGTTCTGTCATTGTCATCTGAATTATCTTTTGAAGAACGAGTCGAAGGTGAATTGTCACAATTGCATTGATCAAATAGAAACTGAAAAAAATTTTTTTTTTTAATTTTTTGCATTTTAGTCTTCATTAGATGGCAATATTTGCTCAAACACAGTTCAAAATGTATTAAAATGGTCAATTTGATATTTTGAAAAACCTGTCTTACAGCACCAAACTCGCCCCCTCACACAAACTAGACCCATCCCCTGAGATTACCCATAACTCTAAGGGTTAGGGAATGAGGTTGAGTTTAGTTTCATTATAGTGCGGCTTTGAGAACTCCTCCAGACTCAAAGTCTAGGGCTGTCTGCTGCTATGGTAACAAGCGAGAGCACATTTCTAATGGGGGAGCAATGGAAGAATGAAGGTGTCGATTGGTTTACTTATGCAGACCTCTGCCAAGATCAAGACAAAACTATTCACTCCACACCCCTATTCGAAGTGACTTTTCCTTGTAACCATGGCATCCACCACGACGCGAGACTGATGTCTGGAGGAGTTCTCCTGAAAGCCGCACTTTAGATATGTTTTTCAAAATATCAAGCAATTAAATTATAATTTTATTTTTTGATCTAGATATATTTTGCAGTTTTCATACATTTTCATCACCGTGCATGTTGCTCTCCGATAGCAGTAGATTAGTACTCCAAAATTTATATTTGTTTGAAAAAACTAAGGCTTGTGTCCATCACAACATATTGACAATTAGTATATTAATTTTGAGACCAGAAATCAGCTCATAATTACTTTTCAATCTTAAGTGGTATTTGAAAGAAGAGTATAGTACAAATGTAGAGACGATAACTTTCGTAGGACCAGTGCTTCTGCTTATATCAAATCAATGGAATTAATTCAACAAATACTTAAAGAAAACATAACATAATTTAAGAAATTTGATTGTTAGAGTTGTTAAGTGATCAACTTCACCCAATCGTGTTGAGAATTCCCACAAAACAACTGAAGTTCCGGTTGGCGACATGCTTGTAAAATGAGCTTAACTCTGTCATAAATTGGCCACCATTTAAAAGTACTCGGAGTGCAAAAGTCTAATAAATGACCGTGTTTCAATCCGTGTTTCAACATCTTTTCAATTGTATTCAAAACCACACAATTAACAATTGATTGCATAATTTCAGTGAAGTGTTATCATTTACCTGATATACTTGCCTATTTTTGCTTCTTCAATTCTAAGAATCCCTTTTCGCTACTTATCTTTAAAAATCCTTCTTTTTGTCAACCAGTACAAAAGTTTATAGAAGCTGCTAGAATGTTAGATCCAGAACAGATAACTTAAATATTGATAAAGACTGTATTCGAATAAATTTTAATTGTTGTGATTTTTTTTTTGTAAATTATCAATGCGAAAGATCCTGCGTCTTATAATGTTAAACTTTTTTCTGTGAATATGGACTAAAGTTTGAAGGAAGATTCAATTTCTTCAATTATTCTACTTTAATTATCGTTAATATGCTGTGTGTGAATATAAGATAACTTATTTAATATCTTTGCTATAAGTGAAAATTGGAAAGTAAAACAAGGAAGAAACTGAAAAGTGTAGAGGATTGCATTTTTGGTGTATAATTTTACAAATATCTGTCTGCGTGATTTGTAAGCGTCAATTTATTATTTAATATAATACAAATTTGATTGTCTTACCTAAATCAAGAGGTAAGGTCAAATATTTCTTATGCAATTGTAGAGATAATAATTTAGTAGAGTATTTAAGTATAAAGCTGCACAATAATTAATGCTAAATACTTGTATTTATTACGAGTTATTGCTTTTAGGTGGTTGTTTTTTCGAATTTAATTGATTGACTTTAATTGATACCTGAACTCTTTAATTACTCTACCATTTTTTATATGTTCTGATTTGGCATGTAAAAATAGATTTATTTTTAAACAGTGCAATATGCACTATTGAATGCATAATCATCATCATCATCATCGAAATATAACTGGGTGCCTGGGGCCATTAGCGGCCTTTTTCCCATTCTATTGAATGCATACCATGGGTGAAAGCCCTTATATAGCAAGACGGAAAAGAGAAAAACCTGGTGCGTAAAACATTTCATTCCAACATTTTTTTCGAAAAAAATGAAATACCTGTAACTATCAAGATTTCTTTTATAATTCTGGCATATATATAAAACTGCTTCTTTTCCAAGATAAAGTCACCATTCCAGCTACTGCCTTTACAGAGTGCGGACATGCCATATCACCGGAAAGGACGCGGCGGCAAGGTTTTACCTACCGTTCGCGGACAAGATGCGATCATCTCCCTTGAGCAACTCATTGAGATCTGCGGAATTCCTGAGAAGTATTTTCCACCGAAAGAGCGAGTGAATAAAGGAAATCTCTCTGAATTCTTCATGCATTTCACCATTGAAGAACTAGATGAAGCGAAATCTATCCTGAGAAAGTTCCTCAAAACCCTAGAACTTGGACCCTGCTACGATCACTTCATGAGTATTGCTAACGCTGCCCATCATGCCAGGTACCTGTACTACCTTCGACGGGAATCCAAAGAAAAGCCGAGCCCAGGAATCCCTCCCAAGGATAGCGACAAATCTACTGAGACACCAAGTGCCGATCACCCAGCAAAGCCCGAACCGATGGAAGAGGTTTTACCCCCGGAAGTCGAAATCGAGATCGTGCCTGAGTCTACTTGTGCTGAAACTCCAAATTCACCTGAGGTTGAATTAGTTCCCATCACCGAGACACCTGAGACTAGCNAACTGAAATTTAGAATAGTGTGATTAAGAAAAATATGTGAACTGTTTGCAATTTCAAATTAATATTGAAATTTACAGGTTTAGAATTTTCTACAGTGAAAAGTTTTCGGAACTTCAGTATTCAAAAATGCATACAAAAGCTAGACGTTAAGAACGTATCCAATGAGCGAGCAAAGCGAGCATCGGATTGCGAATGAACTGCGACAGCAGTTCCGGGGGTTGGAGAGCGCCAGCGAGCAGGGGGCGAAGCCTCCTAGTTAATGTTAAATACTTGTATTTATTATGAGATATTGCTTTTAGGTGGTTGTTTTTTTTAAATTTAATTGATAACTCTGAATTTAATTGATTGAATTTAATTGATAACTGAACTCTTTAATTACTCTACCATTTTTTATATGTTCTGATTGGGCATGTAAAAATAGATTTATTTTTAAACAGTGCAATATACACCATTGAATGCATACCTCCCCAGTAGGACTGGGCTATAAATCGATATATCGCGACATATCGATTTAACGCCTGTATCGGCAGGCCGATGCGGCGACTTTCGTTCCAGGCGATGCATCAGAAATCTGATTTAAGCAGTCGAGTAAAGAAGACGAACGATATAGCGATATACGATATAGCGATACAAGACACGTAAGGATCTCTTACATTCCGATGCCAACTCGTGCTGGGGAAGACGATGTTCGTATCGTTATATTGAAACGGCCTTGATTGATGAGCGGTAGAATCAGTTTTGAGAACATATATAGTGATCTCGCATGTTCGTTTCCGCACCTCTTAGTTCTTCTTTGTCGCGACTTGATATCGTTTCTTGTAGATTATTTTCAGTGGGACTGACTTTGTGATTGCCGTCGTTACCTTGTTCTGAACGCAATCTATAATTGAAAAGAATATATAAAGAAGTGTTTCTTAATTAATTAGGAAATTTTTTTTTTGAAATAAAACTTTCTTTTTTATTTTTAAATGTGAAAATTAATTTTGATATTATATGTTTAAGTATTATTTTACATTATTGAATTTATTACAAGCGGAAATCTAATTTAACTTGCCCATAAAGAATTAAACTAAAAAGTAATTAAATTTGTTAGGCTATTTTTTATTTTATTTTTATTTATTAAAAACTTTTTGGATAAAATAATAATTTAATGGGTTTTTATTACTGATTTTAAATTTATAAATCTCTAGATGTTTTCATTTTTATAAATAAAATTATAACAAAACTTATTTTTCCTCTTTTGGATTTGGGCATAAGTCAATTAACTTTGTTTATTCAAAAAAATTTGTTATGTTTGCGATTGCGACTTCCTTTTTTAAAATCATTTAGCACTTCGTTTTATTAAAGAGTATAATCGTGTTTTTTAATTTTCTTTCGATATTGTCAGTTGATTATATTATCGAATATCATAATTCTTTTGTTTTCTTTTTTTAAGAAATTAAACCTTACTCTGTCAATTCGGTAATTATTCAATTTAACTTTATTATTTATGTGAAATAATAATGATAAAAGATAGTGTTGTTTTAAAAGTGTTTTTTTTTTTGTTTAATTTATTTAGCACTTTGTTTTAAGCATACAAATAATTTTTAACGAACTTATTTTTTAAATTTTTTTTCTATATTGTTAAGTAAAATATATTGATAAATTTCAATTTTATTTTTTTATTTTTTATTATTTATTTTCAAACTAAGAAATCTTTCGTTATTTGCGCGATCATTTTTAGAAAATATAACATTAATATCTTTCTTAAGCAAAACGTGTACATCAAATTCATAAATTGATTTAAATCAATCTGAGTATGAAGTTTTGATAGAAATCCGACTTTCTGCGCCTTACAAGTAAATGAATTTCAAAAATACTATATCGCGATGCAAAACTGACGATGCATCACGATATAAAATTTCTTATATCGCCCAGTCCTACTCCCCAGTGGTAGTGAAATATAATTTGAATTACAATTTTAGGCAGAAACATAAGCTGTATTTTGATAAAGCTTCTGCGGACTACCACGATGGAAGCTGGATTTTGTTGCAATCTCGGTGTTAGGCGCGAAGCAACCAATTCACCATAATTTAAAAGCCGTTAATTTAAGTGAATTACCACAGCACTATTGCGTAATAATATATGTACTTAATTTTTTAAAAAATAGTGGCGGTGAAAAGATAATAAATTAAGTTTATAAATACAAGGAATATATAGAAAACATACATTTTACTACCAGTTTAANAATTGAATTACCACAGCACTATTACGTAATAATATATGTACTTATTTTTTTAAAAAATAGTGGCGGTGAAAAGATAATAAATTAAGTTTATAAATACAAGGAATATATAGAAAACATTCATTTTACTACCAGTTTAAATATAGAAATAAAATTTTACGCCAAATGCGTAAAAGTAGGCAGGCCACGTCAACATTCAGAATGCAAATGTAGAGACAAATTATGATTATTACATAATTTAATTAAATCATGACATAATACTATCTTGGAGCTTTAGTAGTAGATCATTTTCTTCAATTACATCGTAACTGAATCTATTTACAACTTACTGATGCTCTACTAATCAAGATTTTTTATTATTGAAATAACTTACTACACATTTTTTTAAATTAAAATCCAGAATCAAAAAATTCTAGGTTAAGTTTATTAATATGAATAATTTAATCTGTGTTTTATATCTGTGTTACTTATATTGCTCAGCAAGTTGTTAGATACTAGTGTCGTAATTCACAACACAATATTTACTTGGAAATTATTCAAAAGTTTATATGCTATCCACTTTATTCTAGCTCTCTCGTGGCTAAACTTTTAAAATGTTGGCAAAATTATCAGAAATTCTAAAAGTTTTAGTTATTAATTGCCTACCACTCTATAAAAATTTCGTAAAAGTCTATTAAATTAATAGTTTAATATTATCATTGCACATTATAAAAACGTCAAATATTGTTTTTTCATTGTGATGGAAAAAACCTATTTTTTTCTCAAAAAGGTAAAATGTGGTTACTTAATTATTTCACTCTATACACATATTTTGCAAAATTAATGCAAATACTCATGTAGCCATAATAAACTGCAATAAAACAAATAATCGGAATTCAAAATGAAAGAAAATAATAAGCAGTATCCACTTTGTTTAAGCATGGCCTCTTTTTCCTTAAATGCACGCAGTTTTTTTTTTTTTTTTTTTTTTTTTTTTTTTTTTTTTTTTTTNTTTTGTCACTATAAATTGTTGCAAACCAACACCAGGGAATAGATTAATTCCTTACTGTTACATTAATTCATTCTAGATTAATTCCTTACGGATTACTGTTGCAAAAATGAAATATTTTGTGGGAGTGGGAAAAAAATACCTAAATGGAAAAAATTGGATATGGCATTTAGATTTAGTAAAAATTTGATATTTTATAATGTTATGTACCACTTGAGTTTTAAAATAGAACGCTGAACGCGAACAGAACAAAAACAGATTGCAAAAATGAAATAATTGAATTATCATACTTTAACTCTTTATTATTATATTTTTAAAATAAATAATCATTATGTGTTATAGCGCTTGTGAACCCATTTCTTGCAGGAGTCACGTTTTTGTAATACTTTTCTAATAAAAAAATTATCTTTTTGAAAAAAATAGGAAATAGTATTTAAAAGGAAATACTAATTAAGATAATCTGATAATTCAAATATGAAAAAAATAATTTAAAAATGCATACCACTTTAATTTAAAAAAATATTTAAATAATAATAGAGATGCCAACTTGTTTAACTCCGGACAGCAAATCTATATTATAAAGTGGTAGTTAGTCAATTGTGATTCTTGGTTTAATAAATTCAATTTAGTAGATTTTAATCCACCACTATTTCTATACAATTCGTAGACTTATATAATTCCCCACTTTAGAGTAATTAGGTCATGCTATACCTTTCAAAAAGCAAGCAAAAACAGTCAAATCTTTGCAAAAATTACTTTGTAGTTATTTACCGTTTATTTAATTATTTTGGCGTGTCCGGAGCAGTTGGCATCTCTGTAATAAATTTTTGATCGATTGCTAATTTATTCTGCTCTTATCCTACATTAATGCTATTCACTAATTCCTTAGTTTCAGGGGTGAAAGCGAGACGGAAAAGAGGAAAGGCTGGTAGTAAAACCATTTCAGTTATAGCTAGAGTTTTGGGGAGGAGTTTACTTATTCTTTTTTTAAATTTTTCAACAATATCTACTTTATCTTGGAAAAGAAGCAGTTTTATATATATGCCAGAATTATACAAGAAATCTTGATAGTTACAGATATTTCATTTTTTTCGAAAAAAATGCTGGAATGAAATGTTTTACGTACCAGGTGTTTCTTTTTTCCGTCTTGCTATATAAGGGCTTTCACCCATGCTTAGTTTCACCAAGATAAATTTAAAAAAAAATGAATCAATTTAATTATTAGCTTTTTGTTAAAAATGCTCGAGAGAAAACGAGCTTCGAAGTTTAATAATATAAGATTTTACCACGTTTATATTAACTTGCCTTCGTGTATGTCTGTTCGGGTGGAATTTTGTAATCGATTTTAAACTAACTTCCTGATTAGCTACAGACTTCAAATTTGGCACATAGTTCAGAATTGAATGACAATTGATGAAAATGAAGAGAAAGAAGAGATACAAATTAAATAAAATTTTAAAGAAAAATTAGCATTTTCGCGATTGTCTTTTGTTGTCGATTCGATTATTTCAAATTAGTGTCACGTGTCAGTTGAAATGTTCTGTGTACAGTGAGTGAAAAAATTGAGATTTTGGAAGTGAGTACAAAAAATAATATTTTTAAAAACCATGTTTTTGTAGTGGAGAAAAATAATTAAAAAATAAAAATTTGAAAAACAAAAAACGTGGGGTGCATAAAATACATAAAAGTACATATACGCATTTTCTAACTCATGCACCCGCACAGCCACATCCACATATGCATCTACATACACATGCATATACACAAACATATTCCACATTCAGATACAATTACAATTACAGATATACATACGCACATTCTCATGAGCACACATACACACACTAATATAACATTACTGTTATGTATTTCATGCGCCCCACGTTTTTCGTTTTTCAAATTTTTAATTTTTATTTATTATTCTCCATTACAAAAACGTGGTTTTTAAAAATATTATTTTTATTTTGATTTTTTTTATAAATACCTTTTGTTAGCAAACACTTCAACATAATATTTCTCTTAAAAGCATATTATTAATAAGAATTTATTAACTAAAATAAATAAATGATTTTGTACAATTATCTATCTAAGATACTTACGCTTGATATACCTAACAAGGCTAAAGCACAAAGAAATACAGAAGCCATTTCTTCAACGCCAGAAAGTAAGTGAATTAATTTTTTATGAGTACAAAAAAGTTTCTGCTCACAAATAACGCATTTATATAAATTCTAAGAAGGTGAACATAACGTAAATTTATAACAAAAAATAAGTACTATTATAATCTCGAAATCAGAATACAATAGAAAAGAAATGGGACAGTTCTAGCACTTTTGATGACGTTGTCGGTCATGTAATTCAGTTGGATTTATTTTTGTAGCTCTTTTTTTTATGTTGTAAAAGCCACACTTCAGAAAAATCGCTAACTTATCATTTCGCTGGAATTCGAAATAAAAGAAAATCACTGTCATAAGAGAATGACTATTATTTGAATACAGAATGCTGATGAAGTTTGAACAGCTTCGTTGTTATATTTGTGAGAACGCCAACTCTTAAGATTTATCTTGGGCAAATAATTTAACAACAACAGATGGGGAAATATGAATCAAATATGATTCAGTATTGATCTAGTTAGCACTGGTAACGTTTAGCATTGGTGACTGAATTTATGCAATTTCTTCACCTGTGATGAGTGATATACAGAATATATATATATATTCACACAAATCTACAATAATGGCAGAGACACTTTCGGTTTTTGACATTTCTTAAAATTCCTCAAGAAATATTTTGTAACTTTAGACGTCTTCAGTTCAAGCAATTTTTTTCATACTTCGCTAATAAAATTTAAAGCTTTCAGAGATTTGGAAGACCTACAATAAATTACGAAATAAAACAAGTATTTTTGAACACCCGATGCCAGAAAATCAAGCAAAATACTTGTAGTTTGTATTGATTATTTATTACTTAGTTGTTATTTTTAACAATTGCTGGAAGTTTCGTAATCCTGGAGGAAATATTTATGAAGATACGGACATTTGTATAAAAAATTAATTTTCTCGCCTTATATTTTTTCCCTATAACTACATAAATATGCGACGGCATTAAATTTTTTTGGAGAAATTTAAGATTCATAACAAAATTGTTGATTTAAAATTTAAATTTTTTTTTTTTTTAAACTGTGCAAGATATGAGTATTTAAGCTTTTGTACTGTCCATACCGAGAAAAAAATATAAAAATGTTTTTTCATAATTTTGTAAGAAATCGTATTTGGCAACTAATGATAAAAGTTTTATCTGAATATCTTAAAAGTTTAAAAAGTTTCAAGCATTTTTCAAAGTAGTTTTTTTAAAAAAAAAAAATGATACTATTAAGCAAGTCTTATTAAAAATGAGACCGTCATCGCAGGGATCCCCCCCCCCCCTCCACCGATAAAAATATGTTTTTTTTTTTGCAAGTTTTCTTTTTCTTTACCATCAAAGTTTAGTTTCCTGACGATTATTGTAAGGTATTATCATTTGTTATAAAATTTTATCTAATGATACAAAATAAAATCTGTGAAAAACCTCTGGTCGTTTTGAGCTTTCTTTTAAAAAGTGCAGAAACTGCTTCGAAAATTGCTTGAAACTTTTTAAATTAAGATATTAAAATTAAATTTTTATTATAAGTTGCCAAATACAATTCCCTACAAAATTATAAAAAAACTAAAACTTTTTAAAATTTTTTCATTGCATGCGCATTATAAAAGAACTAGCTTAAATGCTCATAACTTGCGCAATTTTTAACGCAGTTCAAATAATTTATTAAAAAATTTCCAGTTGAAAAGTACACTGGTATAGTATAGTGCGCGTGCATATATAGTACACTGCTTAGCAAAAGTAAAGCATTCCCGCAACAACCCGTTGTATGCTATGCTAAGGTAAAGGCTAAACAATTTCGTGATGAACGGCATGAATGTGGCGATGTGGCCTGCACTGAGCTCAAGCAGCCTTTACTTCCCAGACAAACTGGTAGTGGTACCCATCGATCTGAAGTTGGATGGGCTTCGAGCCGAAATTGGGGATCGAACCCCAGTTCTTACCAATGCATTGGCCATGCATGGCAGCACTTCGCATGCTTTCACCATTAGCTTGTGGATGGGAAAAGGAAGTAGATTAAAAACTTTTATGTTATGTTAAAAAAACTATATGGAATAACTATAAACTATTTGAATACTACATCAAACATAATTCTAAAAAAATGCCATGGAAATTTTGAAAAATACTTTTCGCAATTAAATACGAAAAATATTAAGATATTTAAGTACATTCTACAGTACAAATATCTAGTACAACTGAAAATAGGAGGAGAGGGAAGGGTCAAGACATGGAATCGGTCTTCTTCCCAGATGACGTATTCGAGGGTTGCGATCGCGGCATTTGCGACGCAGGATGGGTAATTAACTTAAGCATGATGTAAATTATGAGTGTAAATAAACAAATTAATAAGCACGAAAAATACTTATGGCTGAAAATTTAAAAATCTCCCATATTAATTTACATAAATAATGATATTGAGTCTGCTAATTGTAAAATAATTCATATATATATATATATATATATATATATAAATTAAAAGGGGCAAAAAGAAAAATAATAATAATAAAAATAACAAACAACTGGGGGAAGAAAAAAAAGTTTAAAAAAAAGGATAAATTTTTTTTTAAAAATCTGGAAAATAAAAGATATAATCTTTTCATCAGCCCACACGATTATATCCGCATAAAAGTGTGCTTTCTAATATTGTATCAATATAGCTAAAGCAAAACATATCAATACAATAGTGTGAGGAGCACTAAATTTTTTTTTACATAAATTACAACAAATAAAATAGAACACAATAAGTAAAAATAACACGTAAAAACAGAAAATAAAATATAAAGAAAGAACAGAATAAAACATAATCTATAAAGCGAGTAGCTAAATCAAATGAACTTACATGTACGGGAAATTTTTCAAGAATGATTTAAAATATTTTCGTAACAAGATTGCAAAATATGAAAACAAAAGCGCAAATTGAACGTAACTAGAGGAGTTTTGTTTTAAAGTGCGTTCTTTAAGCTTTGTTTTAAAGTTTAAAACAAAACTCCTCTAGTTAGCTTCAATTTTGCAAATTTTTATGAGCCCAGGTAAAGCAGCATTGGAGGAAGTTTTTTAGTATTTAAAAATTAGACCAAAAACGCTTTTCATTTTCACAAAACTATGACTTTTCACCATAATGATGTTTTGCACCATTTTCAAAATTATACGTAGACAAAGCTGAATTTAGATAGGCTAAACTTGGCCTAACAGTCATGAGTAACAGTTGCAAACTCACAGCAGTTAAAAAAAATGCATATTATTCTCAAAAAAATATTTCACATTACGACGGAGCCTTCGAAAAAACAGCCTTAATGAAGGGACCCGACTTTTGTTTAAAAATAGTAATAAATTCTGGCTTTTCATTAGATATGATTCTATTTAAATTCCCATTTAGTTATGTATGTACCTCATAGAAGCATTAATATTGAATCTTGAATGATGGGAGGGGCTGATATTAAGGAGAAATAATATATATTTCCTAGGATTGATGTAACACATCGTAATTCTAGTCCAAGATTAGAAACTCGTTGTCATTTAATGTTTAAAGACATATTTGCTATTAACAAGTTGATTTTACATAAAGATGCGATTAGAAAGGAATTTAAGATCAGAAATTTTAGCGTGCACATTTAAGTGAGAGTTTCGGCTACTGCGTCATCAAGATATGTAACTAAAACAGGAAAATTAAGGGAGTAACGTGAAAATGCTCTCAAGACCCATGTAAGTATGTTCAGACTGCAAAAAAAAAAAAAAAAAAAAAAAAAAAAAAAAAAAAAAAAAAAAAAAAAAAAAAAAAANGTCATAAATTTCCAATTTTATTATTAAAAAAAAAGCATTACAGTTAAATATTTTTATTTTCTATATTTTTTTGTGTCATCAAGAATTAAAACTAAAGCAAACATTCGTAACAAAGTGAAGAAAACAGATATGAAAACACACTAAAAAAAGAACCAAATGCAAGGACCGTTCAAGCTGCAAAAAAAGAAAAGGCCATCATTTGCAGCAAATGAGTAAAAAGTAATTGTTTTTTTCCTTTATATTTTTCGGTCATATTTATATAACGGTTACAGGTTAATTAATGATATATGTTCCTTTTTGTTCTATGACCATTTGCCATTGTTACGTGAGTTTTCCAATTTGCCATTTGTAAAAGGACCAGACTTTATTTAAGAAAATTGATCAATGCTGATTCACAGCATCATCTGAATTTAACGTTTTTCCCCACAAAACGCTTTAAAGAGAGAGAGAAACAAATGGAAGTCTGATGTCACAAAGTCAGGCGAGTATGGTGGGCAGGACAACACATCCCAGCCAAGCTTCAATAACTCTTGACTGGTAGCCAAAGTAGTATGTGGTTTCATTCAGTTATTTTCATAATTCAAATATATCAATAAAAACATACCACAGAATTCTGAGCATCGAATCTCTACTATTAGAGAAGTTTTATAAAATTATATCTTACAGCTTTTTTCTTTCTTTTTTTAAAAAAAAAGAAAGCAAGGAAGGTAGGTCTACACTCAAAAAGATCTAGGAAATACTACATTGGCCACTTCCCACTTCCACTAATGGCCTTCCTGCCCACTTCCTAGGTATACAACAATTTTCAATCTTTCTGGTGTAAGTTTTATTTTTTCTTGCATTACCTTTGAAACTAGTTATAACAATAAAAAACATGCTGCAATTTTTAGATAACACAAATAAAATAGCTCACAACTGTACAAAATTGAAGTAATATATTTGCGATTTAATGTTAAAAAAAATCCAATACTGAGCGGTGATGGCTCAAGGGATAGAGAGTTTGCCTTCTAATGAGGTGAACTGGGTTCGAATCCCAGTGATAGCTGGTCGATACGAATTCTGCATTCGGCTTGCATTGACAACAGTGCTGACGTAAAATATCCTCAGTGGTAGACAGATCATGGGTTAGAGTTCCCCTGCTGTCAGACTAACTGTGGGAGATTTTCTCTCTCCATGTAACGCAAATGCGGGTTAGCTCCATCAAAAAAAGTCCTCCACGATGGCAAATTTCTTCCTATACTTGATCCAGGAGTTTCCCCATCTTCTGGATTGGGTTTAAAATTATAAGGCTACGGAATTGAACATTAGTAGTCGTAAAACTCAAAAATTGGGTCGGCTGTTCAACGACGGTTATAAAGTAAAATATCAGGGTTCCCACGATCTGGAAAAAATAAAAAAGTTGTAGCTGAGATTTTTCAAGACTACTAAAAAATGCTTAAATTTATTTTCCATTTGTAAATAATGAAATTATTCCAGAGCTATTTTTTGCACCTATATATATTTCCTATAAATTAAACATTTATTAATGGCTTGAAACATTTAGATTTATCACACTTTTGCTACCACTTTAAAAAGAAAAAAATCAAGCTCGTGGGAACACTGTAATATATATTATAAAGAATGAAATAGCTTGCAATAATCGATCAATCTACAGAAATTCTTAAAATAATAAAATTTCTCCCGATACTTGATCCAATAGTTCGCTTGTCTTCTGGATTGGGTTCAAAATTACAAGGCTACGGAGTTGAACATTTGTAGTTGTGAACTCAAAGAATTGGGTCGGCTGTTCAATGACAATTACGAAAGAAAAATAAATATAATGATACTAACTAGAAATATTTATCCGACCTGCTTAATATCATTGTAATTTTTTTTTAAATTTTCATTAAAAATCAAAAGAAATGCTGTCCCCTTAAACGAACACAAAACAACTATATAAATCCAAATTCAAAATCAACTTTTTGCACCATTGTTAAATAATCCTTTTACAGAAAAAATGCAAAAAAAAAAAAATTTTTTTTTGGGGAGCAAAAATTAAATAAGAATTAGATTTAAAAAAGAAGTTTGCGGATGAAGTTACAATGGTAACCAAGCAGGTTTGAATTTATCTCACTAGAATAGGTAAAAAGTTGATGTCTTTTAATTGAATAATTTTTAATTTCGATAAAACAATATATTTCCAGGAAACAGAAATTGTGGGCAAGGGTAATTGTGACACAAAGTGAAAAACCTTGAAAATTTCATGTACAAAAAATCGATATCAAGGTATCAATTTATATAACCTACATAATAAACATAATTTTTTGAAAAAAACATTTATAATTAAATTACCTACAAATGACGTATATCACACCTTTCCAGTAACTAATTTGAGAAAAAACTTGCTTCTTACAAGAATCGCGATATTGGATTTTAAAATGAATTGCAATATTTTAAATATGAATTGCAATATTTTAAAATCTCGGTAGTATGAATAATGATACTTGACTCTTAAATCACGTGAATACAAGTCGCAACACGTAATTTTTAAATAAGGCATTATAACAGCGTGATTATAATAGCATTATAATCAGGCATTATAATAGCGCGATTTTAGGCATTATAATAGCGTGAATAAGAATTAGAATATTAGCAGATTTTAACGCAGTTCCAAATATTTACAATGGCAACACCAAATCAAAAGAATAAAATTGGCAGAAGAATCATATGTATGTAAACTTCTCGTTAACGATATAAGTTTAAAAATTTACTAGGATTATAAATTTTTGATTAGCAGAAGTTCATGAAAAAATTATCGTGAGTTACGGGGAATTCTGCAATATTCGCTTAAAAATCACATGCCCTGCTTTTAGTCAACAAAATGATAGAAAAAACCTGGACCCCCCCTTGTGTGGGAACTGGTAAGATAAGCAAGCAGTGGATGGAGCTTCCTAATATGAAAAAACTTACATAGTACAATTATAAATGTTAAAATAAAGAAAAAGTGGTGTGGTAGTCACAAATAATTTATTTCTAAGAAAAAAAATGTAGGAATGAAATAGTTTTCTCTTAAAAGCCATGCATGAAGCTCAGAAAAATAAGGTGCGGCCGTAGCCATGTCGGAGTGGGTGTATTTGATTAAAAAATATCTTATTTTTTTACTTCCCTTAACAATAATTCAAGTGAAACTTAAAAGTAATGGATATCACATAAAATTGTCATCCCTTTCATCTCAATAGCTTATTACAATTTTTCTTACAGAAATTTTAAAAAATTAGAAAGCAACAATTTGAAAGGGATTATTATTGCATTAAGTCATGGAAATATATGCATAAATTGATAATAAATGAATAAAAACAAAAAGAACATGAAATAAACATTTACTAAAATAATTTATTCTAGTATGGTTACGGTTCATCACACAAGTAGGATTAAGTAATTTGTTCTGTGTCAATTCAAAAGATAAATATTTTGATTACAATTTAACACAAAAACAAATTTAAACATTTGATAATTATAAACATAAATCATAAATAAATTAATACATGTTACACAAAAAGTAAACTTAGTAGATTCTTTAGTACACAACAACAAGGTATTACATGTTCATAATATATTAAAAACTAAAACATGACATATTTTAATAATTTAATTTAAATATATATTTTGATATTTCATTTTAATTATATATCACATTGTATAAAAGAGTTTTTAGAAAAATGTTCCCAAAAAATCTATTTATGAGTTCAAAATTCTTTATTACAAGAGATCAAAATATGGAATGTAAGATATTCTCATAATATTTAAAGGAATGAAAAAAAAAAACATTTCTAAAATATGAATATAAAATATTTTAAAGTTACATATACTTTTTACTAAATAGAAATCAATTGGGGCAAATTTAAATATGGCAGACTTTAAAAAAAATTGATTACAAAACCATTGAAAAAATTCAAACAAACCTTTGTTTGTTTGAATTTTCTATACGACAATTTTATTTTAAATTTTGCAGGTGATTAAAGTCAAAAATTTGAATTCAAAGAAATAAATTTTTCAAAGATTTTTTCTATGCCTAACATAAAAGGAAACCAAATTATAGTTATGTTCCTTGCAAAAAAAAAAAAAGCTAAATTCTTTAGTTCAAATATGGATGGAAATGTGAGTTATTAGATAAATGATCAAATTACATTAAATGCAGAGAATATAGAGAAGTAAACTGGAAGTTATATAAAAGCTTAAAGAAGAAGACTATATATAAAAGAAATTTGAGATATTCTTGAATGTACTTATAAATGGCAGGAAAATATACATAAAAATTAAATATACTTGCACTCAGTAAATATTTGAATTTTTAACATAATTACTGATTAGCAGCCTTTAAAAATTGTTTCTTTAATTAAGTACTATAAGTTAATATAGGTTAATCTTTTTTATTTTTCCAGGACATTTTGTTAGTTCAAGCTGCATATTACTAAACTTGAGTTTCATATAAAAGTTTACTTAATCAACTAGCATATAATAGTAAATCAATTTCACTAACTAACAGTAAAATATCTTAAATATAGAGGTATTTTAATATATATTTTCACAGAATATATATATATTTTAAGTGCATCAATAGAATATAGAGATTACAAAGAAAATTCTCTAAAAAAACCAGGTACTTGTTGGAATATATTGCTTCATATCAAGATAAACATAGAGAAAACCCTTGTATCAATTTCAATTACAAAATAAAAGTACCTGCATCAATAAAAAATTCAATTGCACAGTTGCTTGAGCGAGTAGAAAGAGTTCACCTATGTTTCTAACAAGAGATGTCATTCCATGCTTCGTACTGGAATGACATTTGTAGCCATTAAAGCAATGAGAGTGATAACAACAGCGGCAATGGCAAACAGAATTATCCACATTTTGAAGTTTTTCCAGAACATGTGACGCCTAACTTTTTTAGATGTTGCATGAAATTGAGATGACTAAAATAAAGAATAAAAATAAAGTTATTAACAAATATTTTTTTATTTATTTATATTATATAACTGAAATTCAAAATACAACATGTGATATTAAACATTCATTAGAAGTTGCATGAATTTAAAACAATTAGTAAGAAAATTAAAACAGAATGAAATTCAGGAAAAATAAGTATACATATTCAATAATATTGTTTTGAATTTAATTTATTGAATAAACAATCTGAATATAAGATGGGAGTTTTTACAAATGCATATGTATCTACATATCTGCAAGAAATACAAATAAATTTTAACTTTTAATTGCTGATCCACTTTCTTAGAATGCCAAAAAGTTTTCTTTAAGCATAAAATGTAACACAGAAAATAAATTTTTAAACAAATTTGTATTTGTAGTGTATCAAGGGGAGTCGGTAGGGCATGTACTAATAATGCTAAAACTGACCCTTTTCGATGTACCTTTTCTCAGAATCTAACCAAGATATTGTTTCAATTTTTTAGTCACAGAATAATTACATATACATATTTACGCTGTGATAATTTTTAACACATATCTTCGGCAGAAAATTTATAAGTATTATGAACTTAGAACTTTAAATCTTTTAAAAAGTTACATCAAAAATCTTTCACAACTCAAAAAGTATTCACGTTAATGCCCAAACATTATTACAGCAAAAAACTGATATAATCTCAAATATCCACAAAAAATTTAAAGCACTATAACCATTTTCTTAGAAAAAATACATTGAAAAAGATCAGTTTTAGCATCATTGATATACGCCCTACTGTCTCCCCTAATTTAAGAAATCAATTAACCAAATACAAACTACTTTGAAATTATTATCCAAACTCTTAATAGAAATAAAAAATATGGCAAACATTGAAAATTTTAACTATAACTTACAGCACTTTTTTTTACTAAAGCATCTGACTGATTCATTCCCATTTACATCATAACAAGATGATTCGTTTATTTCAGCCAATCAAAATTGTTAAATTTCTGAAATCTTTAAATAAATTATCCTTAGAGTGATACATACCGAGACTTCAAGGTCATTGGTTTTGTCCAATAACAAATCAAGCCTTTCACCCCTATCAACAACTTTTTCTATATTATCACTCATGACAGTCATCACTTCTTCAACTTGTTTCTTCACTTTTCCAATCCCATCAATGGCTACATCATTGCTATATTTTATCTAAAAAAAGAAAGAAAAAAATTAACTCAAAATATAAATAGTATATGAAAAACTGTTCTCATTGCGGGAAGGGGTAAATTAAAAGATTTAAGATCAAATATTTTTCAAAGAACACAACATTATACAAACAGACACAGATTAATTCTGACGATTATTGTATTTTTAATATGGTATACTTACACTTGACACTCAATTCTCAAGTAAAATATTTTTGAGTAAATAAGTAAAATCAGAAAGTATTTATAAAGAAAAGAAATTCTATTTTAAGGCATAGGAAATAAACTGAGAATAAAATCCAACTTTAAAAAAACAAAAAAAAGAAAATTAGTAATACTACTATGCCAAACATGCTCTAAATATTTCTTAATTTTTTTAATAGCATATAACTCAACAATTTAATTTTCTAAAACTTTTCTCAATGATAATATTTATTATGATTAAAAATATATATGCAGTCAGACCTCGATATAAGGTCACCCTAAGGGACATTGCAAAAGTGACCTAATAAGTGGGGTGACCTTTTAACCGATTCATTAGCAGTTCGTAACTAAGCACGTAAATAGTACACATAACGATTTTTTAAAAATGGCAATACAAACAAAACGATCGGCCATAAATTAAATATTTAAGTCAATAAATTTTAACAAAATTAGTAAAGAATTAAAGAAAGTTAAATTTTTTAAAAAAAATTTAATTTATAATAAAGCTGTTTACAAATTTCCTCAAAGTGTACATACATACATTATATCTAACCTTATTTAAAATAATCATTTATGTAGGTCTGTCTTGTTTGTGGTTTCATTTTTCAAACAATGTTTTCTAGATTTTGTAATTTCTCAAAATGTTCCTCAGCTCCCTCATGGTTTGTAAAAAAAATTTGTATGACATTTATTGCATTGAAGGCTTCTACTTGGGTTACAGTTTCACTGTCATTGACCTCACTGTCCACAACTTGCGAAATAATTTCAGAAATTGTAGCTTGTTCTTTGGCTGCAATATTTTCCTAGAACTCGAGAGAGGTAATTGCCTTGTAAGGAAGTTAAATAGGCTTTTGTTAGAAAAGCGCTCCCCTCGCCTCAGTAAAAATGACCTTATAAGCGATAATGATTCTTAAAACTTGACCATATATCCGATAATCTGTAACAAAGAATTCCTATTCAGTGAGCCGGGACTTTGGAAAAGTGACCTTATGTGCGGGGTGACTTTATATGCGGATGACCTTATATCGAGGTCTGACTGTATATCTATGAGTATAATTATAAGGAAATGCATTTTTAAAAGAAATATAGGAATTGTTTAAAATTTCTTAGCATTGAATACAATTAAAGAATGTTAAAAATAAATAAATTTAAATATTAAAACTGTTATAAAAATAAATATTTTCAATAAATTCTCATAAAGGAAAAATTGAATTTGTATGCAAATACCATGAAGGTTTTACAAATTAAAGATTGGTACTACTTTAGGTTAAAAATGAGTGGTATTTCATTTACTTCTTGCATTAACAAGAAGAATTAAGAGCAAATTAGGATGTTTATTAAGTTGCATAATGTGATTCTAGTGTATTTTACCCTAAAAATGATTAAACAAATTTTAACAATGATTTTTTATAAAAATAAAAAATGATTAAAACGCATTTGTAAAAATTAACTATACCATATATAAATGAACAAGTATGTATACATGATAAATAGTATAAATTCAATTTGCCAGAAAAAGTTCTTCCACTTAATGGCATCTGAAAGATATCTCTTACGCTTAACGATTAGTTTTCGATTCTGTAAGCTAGCAAAACAAAAGATAATACTTTTTCTAAGATTGAATTTTTTCATTCTTTCACAAAGCATGGAAAACATTTAATATTAAAATTATAAAAATACAAAATTTAGAACACAAAAACAATTCAAAGCATGGAAATTAAATCCAAATTTATAATTTTGATTTTGGTAAAATTAAAACCTAATTCAAAATTTTGATCTTTTTAAAATTTACTTTGATTTTGTCCATAACTACAGAAGTGTAATTTGCAAGTTATTGAAATACCTTTAAAATAATATTATTTGCAAAATAATATAACAGCAATTATATACCATAATAAAATATTTGAAGGATATATATTAAAACTTAAACTTTTCAAAAAAAATTTTTCACAACAAATGTTTAATTAATAACCACAACTATAAAATTATATTATTGTCATATGATGACATAAAATTGATAAAAGCTTAATTTATATAATATTACATTTGAGATTTGAACAATAAAATCCTTGAACTGGATATTAAACATAAACTCCCTAGCTAAAATGGTGATCAAATTCTTGGAGTATTAAGTGAATTTTTTAAAAAAAATTGTTTTGCTTATCTATATGTTTCATTTTAGTATAAATTAAATGTTATAAAAATAAAAGCCTACTGGGGTAAAATAAATGACCACTGATGCATTGATAATGCATCAGTTCCCAGCAGACAGATAAGAATCAATTTCAAGCTAAAGCAACTTCATTAATAAATGAATATTTACTAAAATACCATACCATTTGGTCCTTTAAAATGTAGCTAAAGTCTCTATCGAAATCATGCTCATTAGCAGTAAGCGCTCTAATAGCTAAACTTCCGCTAGTGAATCTACTTTTCACCTGCAAATTATAAATATGTTTATATGTAGTACAACTTAAACACTTAGTTTTAGCAGTACATTATCAAGATGTTTAACAATTATGAAAGATGAATGCTTTAAAAGATGTATGATCACTGCAAAAATCCAATAGTGAATCAACTTTTCACTTGAAAATATGAATGGTTTCATAACTACCAAAAAGATCACAATATACATGTTATAAAAAATTATATTAGATTTTTTTTTTTAACATCAATTTAATGGAAAATCATGAAATTTTTTTTCTGAATAAGGTATGATAAGTGAACTTATGAGCAAACTCTTAGGAGGAGCTGACTAAAGAATTTATAAATAACTTTAACATCTTATTAAATGTTCAACTCTAGAAATAAATCACTGTCATTAGTTTACTCTTCATGCAACTTGAGATTTTCGATCTCTTTTAGAGATTGTCAAAAAGAGCTCCCTAAATAAGAGTAACTCAGAAATATTTTGAACACATTTGAATCTACTAATTTGTTTTGTTTATAATTTTAATTCTAACATTTTTTGTGTTTCCATATTTGACTTTTTCGCATTTGGAGCGGTGGTTTGTCCAATTGCTGGAAGATGTTTCGATGGTCTTTCCTAAAGGTTTTCTTCCACACAAAATCTATGGAAAAAATTCCATGTCTGGTCAAATAGAGGAGGAAAAATGGTCGTAAATGGAAGAGGTCGCTACACAGAGGTGGTCTTTCCTAAAGGTTTTCCTCCACACAAAATCTATGGAAAAAATTCCATGTCTGGTCATAAATAGAGGAGGAAAAATGGTCGTAAATGGAGGAGGTCGCTACACAGAGGTGGTCTTTCCTGGAAGTTTCACTATATAAATGAATACATTTATATCATCTAAAGGATGTTATAAATGCCTCTAACTATTCTGTCATCAACCTATAATAGAGAAGCTTTCTCCAAAATAAGGTGAATGCATATGCAATATTACCCTATTTGTCAGTGAAATAATTGAAACAGTTTAGTAGTTTATAAACAAAAACATAAAATGATAATGGTAATTCAATAATTATGTACATGAATTTCTTTCAATTCATTGCTACATTTTTTTTTAGGAAAAAAAGTTTTGAAACTTTGGATTTCTGCGGCACATTGAGTTTTCTCAAACAGATATTGAGTTATAATGTATACATTGAAATATTTCATTCCATGTATTTGTATTATTATTGTATTTGTATTTTCATATGGGGGAAAAATACAAATATTGCAAAATGTGGTTGTGGTATGATCAGTACAAAACATGCGCATATTGAGCAGTTTTTAATAAATAACAAGGTATATAATTCTTAAAGAGCTAATTTTCTGACAAAGTTCATTATATAATTTAACATATTCATTGCAATGTTTAAAAATGTATACTCACTTCATTTAAAAATGCAAAAGGTACACTTTTACCAAATTCATTCTCAGCTGCACAAATATATATAAGTAAATCTTCTACAAGAATATGATATGTGTAGCTGCAATAAATGAACAAAAATGTCTTATATGAACACAAAAATTCTGACAAAAGAAAAAAAAATCAACAGTTAATTTACTTTACAACAAGTCTCAAAAAATATTTGAAAATTTACAATATAGAAATTTACTTATAATGGTAACATTATGCAAAAAATTTATGAAAATGTAAATAACAATTATAATGCATGTCTTTATGCTTAGGAGATAGTGCAGACCACCTATAATTATTTAAATCTGTTTGTTGTTGTTATTAATTTACGTCGCACAAGAGCTGCACAATGGGCTATTGGCGACGGTCTGGGAAGCATCCCGGAGGATGATCCGAAGACATGCCATCACAATTTTGATCCTCAAAAATCTGTTTGCAGTATGGTGTTCTAAAGCATACCAATTAACTGTAACCAAACAATTTTGAGATGTCACTGAGTTTCCAAATCACTAAAACATCCATCAATATCCTGTCAGACCTAGGTACACAATTTTTTTTAAAGTATACTTTGATAGAGTTTTTATGAGATACATAAAGGTTTTTTACATCAAAAAACCAAATGTTTATAGGTTACTATAGTAAATATAGAGAGTTAATAGTACCACATGATAAACTCCCTTGGTTAAGATAGATTTTATTATTTTACCACGACTAGTAAACTCTGCATGAACTAGGACTAGCAAGCTTCCTAACAAACAAGTTTCTGTATGGGTTAGAAAACTTTAAATTAAAAAAATCAACTAATTAGTTTTGATTCACTTTTTTTAAAGTTAATAAGTGTAAGTGCAAGGTTAAAAATATTGGACAGAATAATTATTTGTCAACATCCTGGAAAATATAATCAAAAGTCAGAAGAAAAAAGGAAAGAAAATTACTTATGGTAAATCTCACACAATTCTGAATATAGAAAATCAAAATTAAAATATTTTTATTCAAATTTTATAATTTTCACATATTTTTGAAGGTAATTTATATACTAAAACTAAATGGTACTTTTCCAATTCGCCGGCACCGGCGATAAAGTCACCAATGCAAACTTACTGAGTGCAAGTAAATTAAACTTTTTTTTTTTTAATAAATAGATAGAGTAGCAGAAGTTACTTGAACCGGCAAAATGGAAAAGTACCAACTGAACTTACATTCCAGATGCAAAACATGATTTTGTATTCCTTTCAACAGGTATATTGGATAAGAAAGATTTGACTTCAGAGTCATAATCACCAGCTTGTCTTTGGTTGCTAACCAGAATCACACCGGATTTGGCCACAGCAGAATAAATTATTCCATTCATATTGTCTATAATGAAGTTATAGATATGATTAGATCCTTAACATTTGTAACAAAAAGAAAGAACAATATGATACATATTTAATTCACACAAAATATGCTTAAATTTTTAATAAAAAAATACATTAAAAGTATTATTTATAATTAAATTAGGCCTTAAGAAAACCAGAAAACTTCGGGGAGATTTATGTTTCGTGATCTGAGGCAGAAAAATCGCCAAGTCTTGGCGACTTCTGGCCAGCGAACTCCAAGAAACTTGACGAAAAAACATCACAGAAAGGGACCAACTCGAAGCGTATAACTCATAGTCACCTCGGGACAAACATCCACATGATTTTTTTAAAAATGTCCCCATTTAAAATCAATTTGGCACCTTAGGCGATTGTAGTTGGCGTGGCAGATCACGATACAGAAATATTCCCAAAATTTTCATCAATGCAGACTAAAAAAAAAAAAAAAATTCCTTTTCAGCATATATGATTTGTTTTCCTCGTGAAATAAAATCATTAATTTACAAAAATATCAAATTTAATGGGATGAGCTAATTGGTAATAACTGCAGCTAATGAAAATAGAAATTATAGCTAGTAGAAATTTTAAGATCAAATTTAACTTGATTTTAAAATGTAATCTTGCATGACATAAAAATTTTCTATCAACATCATTAAAAGCACTTTAACATCAACATTTTCAAGAATTAATAAAATTTTAAACATAAAATAGTATAATTGCGTATTAAAAACTACATGAAACAGAAATGAAAAAATCTATTCAAAAAATATAATTCACAGATGTCAAGCTTAAAATTTCAGCACAGCAACATAATAAAAACAGTAACTAATTTAAAAGAACACTTCTTAAAATTATTTTATGTAAGAAAATGGAATTTAACTTTTCTAAGAGATTTTATATATTCAACTAATTGCCAGTTAGATCAGTAAATTAACTTCAATGTAAGATTGCATTATTTTATTTCAATATTATTTACAAGAAAGTTTACAAATTTTCCTGCAATATTAATTGCAATGATCTTTTACCGTCATGAGTCCAATATTGATTTAAAAGGAAAGATTATAAGTCACTCTTAAAGTTCAAATTGCGTTATCGTTGTTCGATTGGTGAAGAACAACAATTCTGGAAAGATAACATATCAGTAAGACATAAAACCAAAATCAACTGTCAATATAATTTTTAATACATTAGTGTACATTCAGCTAAATAATGTAAGGGAATCGTTTGTACCAACATTAGAGAATTAACTGCCCCTAAAATTTCATTGTTTTCGGTATATTAATTCATAACTTTCCGTATTAATTCCTAACTTTCTGTTTTGATATTTGCTTAAAAAAAAGTTATTAACATATTCATTTAATTGGCTTCACAATTTAAGAAATTGATGATTTCAATATTTTTTTATAAATAGAACTTATAATTTTATATACTCAATACATACATAGAATTTAAGTAACTCAAAATTGAAAATTATTCATTAAAATAAAGTAAATACAAAAAATCAACAGAATTTAATAGTGACGCAATCTATAGCATAGTTTAGTTGAAGAAGTCCTATCTTAATAATTGTAAATTTTAGATTAAAAGAAATTACGTAACGATTACCACCTCAAAATGTATAAATTTTATTGACGCCAAGCTTTAAATCATTGAATAATATTTTTTCTAATATAAAAGTCATATTTTGTGTAAAAAATTTAGGTGACTATTAACTGTAACTGTTTATTGGAAACCACACCTTTTAATTGTTTACATTTAAAATTTCGTAAACTGTTTAGATTTCTACCTCTAATTTATTTTTAAATGAATACATTTCCTAAAATGATCATTTTATTATTTACGTTCCTAACTCTAATATGTTCAGGTAAATGAAAAATATGATATTCCATTGTTACGATATTTTTTTCAAGAACTATCTTACATAATGCATTGTATGTGCAGTTAATCATTACTCAAATTTACGAAATTATCTTTTATATTTTACTATCATCTTATTTACTCTTTATTTCTATATAACTTTGTTTGTTAATACGTGATTTATTAAATTGTTACGAATGGTAATTTTTTGTATTCGCTCGCATCCTACTGTATTCATGCACATTTCTCATACCTCACAAAACTCAGAGGTATATTTCCATAAATAGCTATTGATTCAATAGGTCGTACATAATTCATATAGGTTTACATTCAAAATATTTAACATCGAATATATTACCTTTAAATTCCAATAGTCTTTTTGGTTACATCTACCCTCTTGTAAACTGAATATTAAATAAATTTCTGGAAGGGTTAATCAAGGCAGACCTCTTTAAAAGCTATTGGAATTTCACTAAAAAAATAGAACATGTAGATTTAAACTAAAATTTCAGGAAAAATTTAAAAATAAAGCATGTAGATGTTTGCCCGGGAGTGGCTATGGGATATGTTACTGTATCATGATCTGTAGCGCCAAGGTGCCAAATAGATTTTAAACTTGCAAATTTTTTTAAAAAAAGCCTTTTGATTTTTTACTGGGCTGTGGCTATAAGTTATACCTTTTGAGTTGGTTCATTTCAGTAATGTTTTTTTGCGGCCACTGCTCGGAAGTTGCCAAGATTTGGTGATTATTGTGCCACAGATCACGATAGGGAATTACGGAAATCTCACCAAGTCCATTATTAATTGATTATCTTAACTTATATATCTGTGTTTAAATATATTCATTTGTAGTCTATTCAAAGTTTGCTAAAACCACTATATAAGCCTAGGCTTGAAAACTAAAAAAATAACCCATTCTAATGCTTGGTGTTTTCTTAAGGGCTGCCCGCTCTGCCTGCTCTTTTTGTAAAAATAAGCTGCCATCCTATAAAACACAGCCTTTTTATACATATTCCATTAAAGAAATAATTCATAGTTTAAACAGTAGATAGTTTTCTGTGTTTATAGGTTTACTTCTGATTACTGTTACAAATATTTATTTTATCAGAATTAACTGTTTAAACTTTTAACCAGTTAACACATTCGCTGCAAAAATAATATTTCCATCCTCAGAAGCTGGATTTCAAAACAGGGTTTTAATGGTTTAAATGTTCCTTATATTTTACTAAGAAAACCAGAAAAACGAAGAAATATATTAGTTTCCTGTTTAGAGAGTGTTTTTTTTCCAACGCTCTGGAGCGTCAGTGGCACACAGACTCAACCTGTCTTCGTGAGTGCCACTGACGCACCAGGGCGTCTGATCAATATTCTCCGAAATTACTAGCATATTGCATAGAATAGCAGCTTGAAAGGAATAAAACGGAATACCATTCAAGTATATGTAGTACCATTTATGAAACAATACTGAAATTATTTGCAAATAATAGACGCAATATACAGATATTGGCAGTCGTCACACACATAAAAAAATTCAAGCAAAAATCGTGAAAACTAGCCACAAAAAATAAAAAAATAATGCTTCACTAACGTGCCGAAACAACCTCTCCTTTGAATTCCCAAAGCCACACTAAACAGAGAGCATATAACTTATCATAGTTGATCGACAAGCTAGCGCGTCGTCGGCATACCAGTAGGTGATGCGTTAGTGCGTTGGTGGCAGCGAATGTGTTAGTTCAGACAAAACTGGTCAAATTTTTATATTTCTCTTTTTTCAGGGGTATATGATGAATTTAAGTGATTTCAATTTATTTTTAAATGCCTTTTTCTTTTATTTCTTTTAATTAAAAAAAAAGAGAAAGGCATCTATAAATATTTATTTTCTCATAATTTTCAGCCTAAATTACTGAAAGAAAATTTCAAGTTATTTATCATTAATCTTTTCTTTTTTAGTTTACTCTTTTTGAAAAAAAAAATTTTTACACAGTGATTGTCTTTTAGCATGTCTTTTTAATTATTTTTGCAGACTAGAAATTTTTCTCTTAATAATGAGTGAGAATTACTTTTTGAAATATGCACATAAAATAGTTTAAGAGGGTAATTTAAAAATTGTTAAGGTTCAAATTCAGTTATTACACATTTTGATAAATTTTTACAACGTTAAGTGAGTCCCCTTTCAAAACTCAAAGTGCCCTCCCTTTTCTTTGAGGAAGCGTCCTGCCCTTTTTTATTCCTAGGGAGAATTCTGATGCTATCTATCATTATAAAAGTACAAGTAATATTTAGATTCTGTTGAAAGTAATATGAAGGAATTATAGATGTATAGTTAGCTTTTAGTCTTATGCAGATAGTAAAAATAATTAATGTAAATAATTTTTTAAGGAAATACAGTGTTTTCACTACAGCGCGAGAACGCGAGAATCTCGCATATTTTTTTCTTTTCTCACATTAAAAAATTATTACTGCGAGAAATTCGCGCATTCTATAAATCAATTTCAAAATTCGCGAATTTCTCGCATTTTGGAAGAAGCTTCGAATTACGCTATTTAGAATAAAATCCGTTTCACTTTTCTTCCTGGATCTCTCATTATTTTCAACATTTGCTCCGTTATCTAGCTTCCCTATTTACCAGTATTGTTCAGAACCTTTTCGAACAACAGAACACAACCGAACCACGGAACCCCTTTCAGAACACATTTCTCTGCAACCACGTGTTTACCGTAGGTAAGGTTTTTTCATGTAAGACNTTTTAAATGAATACATTTCCTAAAATGTATTCATTTTATTTATTAATTACGTTCCTAACTCTAATATGCTCAGGTAAATGAAAAATATGATATTCCATTGTTACGATATTTTTTTTCAAGAACTATCTTATATAATGCATTGTATGTCCAGTTAATTATTACTCAAATTTACGAAAATATCTTTTATATTTTACCCCTATTTTACTATTAACTAATTTACTTTTTATTTCTGTATAACTTTATTTGTTAATACGTGATTTATTAAATTGTTACGAATGGTAATTTTTTGTATTCACGCACATCTCTCATATCTCACACAACTCAGAGGGATATTTTCATAAATAGCTATTGATTAAATAAGTCATACATAATTTATATAGGTTTACATTCAAAATATTTAATCTAGGATATATTACCCTTAAATTCCGTTAGTCTTTTTGTTTACATCTACCCTCCTGTACACTGAATGTTAAATAAATTTCTGTCAGAGTTAATCAAAGCAGACATTTTTAAAAGCTATTGGAATTTCACTAAAAAAACAAAGCATGTAGATTTAAAATAAAATTTCAGGGAAAATGTAAGCCCGGGAATGGCTATGGGGGATGTTTCTGTATCATGATCTGTAGTTTCAAGGTGCCAAATAGATTTTAAACTTGCAAATTTTTTAAAAAGAACATGTAGATTTTTTACCGGAGTGTGGCTATAAGTTATACCTTTCGAGTTGGTTCATTTCAGTAATGTTTTTCGCGGCCACTGCTCGGAAGTTCCAAGATTTGGTGATTATTTTGCCACAGATCACGATACGGAATTACGGAAATCTCCCTGAGTCCATTATTAATTGATTATCTTAACTTATATATCTGTGTTTAAATATATTCATTTGTAGTCGATTGAAAGTTTGCTAAAACAGCTGCATAGCCAAGGCTTGAAAACTAAAAAAATAACCCATTCTAATGATTGGTTAAATTTTTTGTAGCTGCTAAAAATTTTTTTTGCAAATAAAAGGTGTTGGTACAGGATTAATATTTTATATTCTAAAATACTAGCAAGATTATTTTAGCCTAGTATTTTTTTTCTGAAAATTTATGTTGTTTCAATTTGAAGCATCCACGAAAACATTGTTATAATTAGCCTTTTTTGATTTATCAAATAATGTATTGTAATGTTAATTTATGTTCCTTTTGGTTTTTGTCCTTGTAAAAGGGAAAATGAGAAAATAAATTATTGGATGGCTGAATGTTATAATTTAAAAAAAAATTTTTTTAGATATTATGCAAAGAAAAAGTTATTATTGAAAAATTATAGTTAATGTGGACAAAAAAAGCTCTTATAATTTTTTAGCTTTTGTATTTATAACAGAAAATCTTTGCAGTGTTACTTCTTGCAAAAAACTTATTTTTAATAGTGTTATTTTTAAGGAGACAAAATTAAATTATTGATTAGAGACTGATTTAGAATTTTTATCTGAATTAAAATTTAAAATCAAACTAGAATTTAAGACTTCATCAGGGATGCCCAACCATTTTTGAATATTTGGCCACAAAAACTGCATAATACTCACTTCAGAGGCCTACATTAATGCTTGTGAGATGTTTGATCGATTAAATTTTATAGACTATCGAAGGATTACTATGATGTTAATCATACTTTTATTATTTTTGCTTGTTTAGTACAAAAAACTATGTATGCATACCTATAATTGAACAAGACATAACCCTTCTTTCTATTAAAATAGTTCCCCTGGATCGGGAGATGATCTTTTGGCTAGGAGCAGTCGACACCTGCGAGGCAGGCAGACAATGCTTTTTTTTTTAAAAGGGCGGCCCACTCTGCCTGCCCTTTTTTGTAAAAATTAAGTGCCATCCTATAAAACACAGCCTTTTTATTCATATTCCATTAAAAAATAATTCACAGTTTAAATAATAAATACACACTGGCAAAATTATCTGTGTTTAATTCTGATTGCTGTCACAAATATTTGTTTTGTCAGAATTAACTGGTTAAAATTTTTAACCAGTTTATTCTGACAAAACTGGTCAATTTTTTATGTGTCTCTTTTTTCGGGGGTATATTAATGAATTTAAGTGATTTTAAATTTATTTTTAAATTTATTTTCAAATGCCTTTTTCTTTTCCTTTTTTTTATAAAAAAAAAGAGAAAGGCATCTTTAAATATTTATGTTCTCATAATTTTCAGCTGAAATTACTGAAAAAAATATTTCAAGTTTCTTATCATTAATCTTTTCTTTTTCAGTTTTTTTTTTTTCAAAAAAAAAATTTGTACGCGGTGATTGTCTTTTAGCATGATTTTTATAATTATTTTTGTAGACTAGAAATTTTTCTCTTATTTTAATAATGAGTGAGAATTACTTTTTGAAATACGCACATAAAATAGTTTAAGAGGGTTATTTAAAATTGTTAAGGATCAAATTCCGTTATTACATATAATATTACACATTTTGATAAATTTTTACAATGTTAAATGAGTCCCCTTTCAAAATTCAAAGTGCCCTTTTCTTTGAGGAAGTGTCCTGGCCTTTTTTTTTCCTAGGGAGAACTCTGATGCTATCTATCATTAAAAAAATACAAGGAATATTTAGATTCTGTTGAAAGTAATATGAAGGAATTATCGATGTTGTATTGTTAGCTTTTTGTATCATGCAGATAGTAAAAATAATTAATGTAAATAATTTTTAAGGAAATATTCCTATTAAACTACAGAACAAGTTATCTTAAATTCATAGGCATTTAGCAAAAAATGTAAGTTAACATTTATCCTAAATATTAATTTTTGCTATCATTCAAAAAACTAAATTTGTTACAAATGCAGTATCAAATACGTGTTGCTAGAATTTTAAAATTATGATTTTTTTTTATCTTATTGATTTGCTACATATTTTTTCTCTTCTTTTTTAGTTTATTTGTACAAACAGTAAGTAATTACATCTCACTGCTAACTTTAAACTCATTGTTTAAATAGTACTTACATAACTAAATGATCATAGTCTGTTACTTTGAAAAAAAAAAAAAAAAAAAACTGTTAAACTATGTTAGTAACTTGGGCAGGGCAAAAAAATTTTCTGTTACTTTTTTTTTCCTTCATATTTTTATTAGAATTTTAGATTGTTCAGGGGCCAAGTTCTTGGTCTTTGAACCAAGTAGTTCTCAAAATCTTGGGTTAAGTGGCTTTGAGGGCCAGGCCCATAGGCCATAGGTTGTGCATCCCTGAGCTACATCTTTTTTCAACCAATATAAAATGCTCGGATTTTGAAAAATACTACATCTTTTAAATATATATATATATTTTAAAAAGCTCTATCGAAAGTAAGTTTTAAAGCTTATCATTATTCAAAATATCTTTTGAATACTTTAGAAATATTATAAAATTTTATGTTTTTATTTCTTGGTTTTATTTGTAACATTATTTCAAAGTGTTTTGTATAACTAAATGTGTTATTAGTAACTAGAACAGAATTATATAATTAATTAAATTTTGTTTTAGGTAATGCAATACGATGTTACCAGTGTAGTTCTGATCAAGAAGGTAAAGGTGAAGATAATTGTGGTGCCTATGAAAATTTTGATGCTGACAGAAATACTTTAGTTGATTGTTTGGGAGAAGAAGCTGTCACGCCTGGAACTTTTTGTTATAAAAGTATTCAACAAAGTCCTAGAGGTTTCATATGTAAGTAATTTTCTATAGTACTTCACATTTGCCTTTTGTAGTCTTACAAAGTAGGTATTTTATGCGATGTCATAAACTGGCCCTATTAGTAACTTTTATTATCGAATTTTATACTTTAGTAATGTTCTGGGTGAAATTTATTTCTGGGGTTGCTGGTACATCCTGGGAAAAAACAGCGGAAATTCATAGAAATTTGTGTGGAATTTCAATAATTTATCGGGAATATGTATACAATAAAAATTTGTATCATGTATGCACTGGAAGAAATGGACATGGTACAAATAAAAAAAATTAAAAATATGCGACGAGATGAAAAATTATGATTTCTTTTAGTCTTATGCAACACAAATATTTTTATTCAAATAACGGAATTTTGGCACAAAATATTTTTAGTGTTAAAATATTTTGTGTAACTAAATGTGTTTTATTATTTGTATCATTTAGAAAAAGAAAAAAAATTCGACATCAGCGCTATTTATTTGCATTCAGAAACATCAAACCAATATCATATAGCTTCTTTGGAACGTTGTTAAGGATAAACTTCTGCTTAGTTCTTTTGTAAACTTCTTAAGATTTTTAAAACTAGCCCCAAATATAACATGAAACAAACATTTCAAAAATTATCATTTATAATTTTCCAAGTTTTAAAATCAATTGAAAAAATGACCAGGAAAAATAAATTCTCAGATTATTTTTATTATTAAATCATTCTCAAATTATAGTCTTTTTATTTTAATTAGAATAATTTATTTTAAAAATAAAATTTGGAATTAAGTTAGTAAAGAAAAGAATTGTTTTTTTCATTTTGCATCTTATTTTGAAAGTTTATAGTACATTTTATTTAATTTTGATTAATTTTTAGAATATATTAAAAATTAAGTATTAATTAATACTTAATTATTAATTTTAAAATAATGTAAAATATTTTTCTTAAAAGACAGGGTATTTTGTTAGCAAAATCAGGTAAGAATGCATTTGTTTTAGTTTCAATGCTATATCCTAATGCAAATGGAATCAATTCATATTATTCGGTGATTACTTTCTGACATTGTATTGTCTGTTTTATTTTGGCGATAAATAAATTTCAAACACAAATGGGATTCCTTGGGAGATATTCTTTATGACATGTTATATTCCCATGAATTATGCATTTCTAATTAGATTGAACTGTAATCTGTATTATCCTATTAAACTACAGAGCNTTAAGGATAAACTTCTGCTTAGTTCTTTTGTAAACTTCTTAAGCTTTTTAAAACTGGCCCCAAATATAACATGAAACAAACATTTCAAAAATTATCATTTATAATTTTCCAAGTTTTAAAATCAATTGAAAAAATAACCAGGAAAAATAAATTCTCAGATTATTATTTAATCACTCTCAAATTATAGTTTTTATTTTATTTTAATTAAAATAATTTATTATAAAAATAAAATTTTGAATTAAGTTAGAAAAGAACAGAATTTTTTTTTCTTCCTTTTGCATCTTATTTTCAAAGTTTATAGTACATTTTATTTAATTTTGATTAATTTTGAAATAATGTAAAATGTTATTTTTAAAAGTCAAGGTATTTTGCTAGCAAAATCAGCTAAGAATGCATTTGTTTTAGTTTCAATGCTATATCCTAATGCAAATGGTATCAATTCATATTATTTGGTGATTATTTTCTGACATTGTATTGTCAGTTTTATTTTGGTGATAAATAAACTTCAAACACAAATGGGATTCCTTGGGAGATATTCTTTACCACATGTCGCATTCCCATGAATTATGCATTTCTAATTAGATTGAACTGTAATCTGTATTATATATTTTTTAAACAAGCATTCTACTTTTTATAAATTTCAAATTATTCATATGAACTGTTATAATCCTGGTATGAAAAATTATTTCCTGAAGATAATGAAAAATTATGTAAACTTGCTTTTTCCTTCTTATGACAAGGTTACGTATCAGGCTATATTCTAATATATTTTTTATTATAATTTAATGGCAAAACTATATGTGTCTTAAATTGATTTTTCATTTCAGTGCCATACGTTCATAATTTTATGACATTTGTTTTGTAATTGCAGGGGATGGACGCTGGAGAACAGTAGTGCGGAGATGTGCTCAAATTTCAGAAAGAGGTATCAATTGGGGCTGTGATTGGGGTTATAAAGAAAATGGTGTTTATTGGGAAGAATGCTATTGTGCAGAAGATGGTTGCAATGGTGCAAGAACATTGAGAACTCCTTTTATATTCACATTGGTGGTGGTTATGTTTTCAATTATTTATTTAAAGTATGGTTTTCTTTAGGTTTTTCTTGTTTTTTAAAGGGATTGTGATGATTTGCACATTGAAATGTTTACACAGTGAAACAATGTACTATGAAATGTTTACACCGTGAAACTATGTACAATGAATGAAACAATGAGTATGTACAGTGAGTGAAACTATGTACAATGTTTACACAGTGAAACTGCCTTTAAGCATCTTTTGGTTATTTTATTATAAAATTGAATTGGAAAAAAAAGAGAAGGAAAATGTAAAATAATTTATGGCAGTCCAAGATATTTTTTGCTTGTATTTTATAAAATTTAAAAAAAAACAAACATAGCTTACAATAATTTTCTTTGTACTAAATTCTATTTTTCAAAAATAATATCATAGTTAGATATTGTTGAACTATAACAATGTTACAAATAATATTGTGATTAATGTTTTAATTAAAATATAATTTGTTTTACTAAAATGGATGTATGCTTTGTACATTTGTATCAGTGCAATAAAAATGTTCCATGGTGTTTTACAGTGTGGAAATATGAGTAAATATTTCCACACTGTAAAAATTGCTTTGTAAAGGAAACTTTGTATTTATAAAAAATGTAGAAACTTATATAATTTATTATTCTCAAACATCTTTGTTCGTTAAACTGACTCATATATGCATTTTAATAAGTATATTTTGCATAATAGATATTATTTTCAAATATTTATTTCTCTTCATATCAAATCAAAAACAGAGTTAAAAATTTTTCTTTGTACAAAATTACATTCAAGTACTTATTATGTTTCTATGTAATTTTATTTTTAGTTCATTTTGTATTTTGTGCACATTCCATATTTTGCTGTTTCGATTTGTACACTCTTTCATTTACATTAAACATTTCTACATCTTTACAAAAAGTAGAATTTAGTTAATCATTTTGTTAGAAAAAGTTTTTGATATTTTTTTTCTTTCTATTTTCAAAGATTTATATCTTTTTTTATTTTTGTGAAATTGTTTTAAAAATTCCAATATTTTCACTTTTCTAAAAATTTGTGTTAACTTTTTGTTTCTTTTTTTAGTATGTTTGTAAAATCTATTATTTTTTTTTTAAATTAATGATTGTGTTTATCCTGATGATCTTTGTTTGTATGTTTTTTTTTGCAATTTTGTATGTTGACTATATACATATTTTTATTACTCTCTGTTTACTAAAATATTATTTCTTTTATCCACAAATTTATTTGAAGAATCTCATGGGTTAGTTTTTATTTTTGAACTTCTATTATAACTTCAGTCATCCGTCCATTTTAGCGGTTATGAAATATTTTTGTATTTCCTTGAAAAATGTAATAAATCTATTTTTCTGAATATTGTTTTGTATCAATGTCACAGATGTTTTCAAGTCTCTTTAATTTTATCGCAAATATGTTGATAGTTTAAATACTTTAATCAGAAGTGATTGTATTCCGGGAGTAGCCTAGAATTTCGGTTTCGTGCAGGTTTTTCCGGATCTAAAAACTAGAAGCAGATACTGGTATTTTTCGGCGAATATTTGCAGAATTCATCATATCTTAAGACTGTGGATATGAGTCCGTGGATTGCGAATTGTGGATATAATTGGTTTGTGAATGAGCGATTTTTAATTCGACGGCATTTTAAAACTTATGACTTAAAAGATGTTTACACACATGTGATTCTTCCGCCAATTTGATTGGTTAGGTTTCGCGGATTTTTTGATGCCCCTGTATCTGCTTATATCGCGATTCTTATTCACGCGATCATATCAAACATCGATTTTCGTAGTTACCTGATTTATAAGTTATACTTACCTGATTTATAAGTTATGCATTGCAATTCATATTCATGCGATTTAAAAATCGTACATCGCAATTCTTATTCACGGGATTTAAAAACTCAAAATCGTTATTTGAATTTATGCATTTTTAAGAGCCAATGTCGAGATTTGTATTCACATAAGTTTAAAATCCTATGTCGTGATTCGTATTCACTCTGTTGTAATATAAAACATAGATTTTCTTATTTGTACTTGATTTAAAAATTACTCATAGGGATTTATATTCACTTGATCTTAAAATTATGCATCATGATTGGTATTTAAGCGATTTAAAACTTCAATATCGCGATTTTTATTTTTGCTTTTTCAAAATCCAATATCGAGATTCATATTCATGTGATTTTAAAATCCAATATCGGGATTCATAATCAGCGATTTTAAAAACTAATATTGCGATTCATATTCACGTGATTTTAAGATCCAATATCGCGATTCTTGTAAGAAGTAAGTTTTCTTGAATTAGTTATTATTAAAGTGCGATATCCTTCATTAGTAGGCAATTTAATTATGAATGCTAGTTCAAAAAATTGTGTTCACTAAGAATAATGATTGGTATAGAAATTGATATTGATTTTTCTCACATAAAAATTTCAGGGTTTTTCACTTTGTGCCACAATTCACAAGCACCTCCTGTTTAGTCATGTGAAAATGATAGCAAGTCCTAAAAAGGTTGGGGACTTAATGGTTATAATTTATGTATAATCTAACAATGTCAAAGCATTTATATTACTAAGTAAACTGCAAAAAACCATGTAATTTAAGTTGAATTAGAGAATAGAGTCGATGAAAATTCAATTCTAAATATATGAAATCTCTAATATTTTAATGTACTTAATATTATATTAAGCATTTTATTTTTAATTAATATTTATACTATGGTAATAGTTTATATTTAAGTCATTTATTTAATTTATTTCTAAAAGAAAACAGTTTTAATAATAAAATTAAAATAGAAACAAGTAATATATAAAAAAAAATTGAAGTAAATTCCTACTATTTCAACAAAGAAAATTTTTATTTAATTTGTAATAATACAAATTATAACGAGTGTGAACGAATAGTAGGAATTGAAAAATTAATTCGTTAAATTTAATTAATGAACTAATATAATAATTGAAAAAACTGTATTAAACATAAAGTGCCATTCACTACAAGTTTAAAAAAATGTAATTGAATTTGAGTGAATGAATAAAAAGTAATTTATTAATAATTGAAAATTTTAACAAGATATAAATACAGTCGGACCCCGATTTAACGAACCCCTATTTAACGAATTTCGCGATTTAACGAATTTTTTTTCAACCCCAGCAAAAACAAAGTCAAAAGCCCTTAATTAACGAATAATTAACCTCGAATTAACGAATTATTTCAGCATCCGGAAAAAATATTTTTCATTAATTTTGATCAGAAAAATATTGCATTTTTTTTGTAATTGGCAGATTCTAAAGGGAAAAAAGTCTTTCCTGGGAGGAATAAAGTAGAAAAAGTGCATATTTGTCTCAAACAAAAGAAACGCCTGCAACAGGGAAAAACAAAATTCGTCGTGGATAGGTGGGCAGAGCCAATAAGACATATTACACTTGCAAGGTCATTTTNGTATATATATATAGGGAGAGTGTGAACTAATAGTAGGAATTGAAAAATAGTTTATTTGAACTTTTCTTTATTTTGTGTGTTTACTAAATACATTAAAAAAAAAAATAATCCATGAGCCTACTATGAAAAATTAGAATCTCGTCAAATAATTTAAAGGATGTAATGTGTTCCTATCTAGCCTGCATTAAAATCGAAAAAAATTTGTGTATTTTAGGAAAAAATACCGAATTGATCTTCAAAGTTGAGCTAATTGGTGAATTGATCTTCTGTAATTGAGTACTTTAGCACCCTTAAAAAAAAAAAAAAGAAAAAAAAAGAATAAATTTACTTCAAATATTAATAATTTTTAATTCACGATCTTCTTTGTGACTAAAAATTAAAAAAAATAAAATGTCTTTGTTATACTATGTTACACAACAATGTGGGAACAAAACAGAAGAATTTTTTTCTTCTTTTATTGCAGATCTGCTATATTTGAAGCTATTTTCGTATTAAACTTTAAAAATAATATACAAAATTTAATAAGTAGATATAAGAATATGTTAGTATTATATATACTTTTAAAATAAAATATTTCTTTATCTAATTTTATACTTTTCGGAATTATTTTTAAGTTAATTTAGCGGAACACAATAAATTTCTGTTATTTAATGCACCTATTATGTTTTCATTACGTGGATTTCATTGTATTGGTTTTATAGTAAATATTTTTAAAATGTTACACTATAAAAAGTTATCACATTCGGATAGCAAAGAGGGCAAGGTAAATGATAGTTCAAAATTTGTTTGGATTAAAATAAGAACTTTCTATTATGTTGGTGGCGCCATCTAGTACCAGCAATCCTCCATTAATTGCTGAAGATAAATCCATAATTCTCCCCTACCCCTGATTTATCGATGTATTCATATCATATATAAAGGAGAATTTTGAAATATGGAACTAAATAAAAATGTTAATATTGTATTTCTTGTAGGAATTGTATATTTCTCCATATAGAATAACATATTAAAAAAATTCAAATAATTTGTTGGGTTTGCGTTTATTTTTAATAAATCATTATTGTTGAGTGCTTTCTTTTATATTATTTGAAAAAAAGTAAATTAAAATTAACTCATGCAGTTATTTTAAATAAAAGATAACAATGATTAAGTTAAAGTTACAATATTTTTTTACTTCTCGTTGAATAACCGATGCTCCCATTTGGTAAAATTTTTATGGTTATTAAAACCCTTTTCTTCAGTTTAAGTAAAGTCTAATAAAAATTGAAATGATTTATTTGTCTTGACTCTAATGGTTCCCCTAAATATATATTTATTTCTTGTATGCTCAAGTTTCTTTTTTGTATGTCTTTTAAATATTTGTTTATTATACTAAATTATCTCTCGTATTGCAAGCCCTCGTGGCCTAATGGATAAGGCATCGGTCTCCTAAACCGGGGATTGCGGGTTCGAGTCCCGCCGAGGGTAATGTGCAACTTTTTGGTAGAATGTACTTTTTACTTTGAAATGTAATTAAAAGTTATATAATATCCGATGTTCGGGAAAAAAAAAATTTTTTTTGTACGTTTTTTTTTAAGTATAATTTTTGAAAACAAAAATTCTTCAAATTAGCTTTAATTTTACCTACGGATCACTAGATAATTTGTAATGGTTACAGCAAGATCCTTTTGAAAAAGAAAACTTTTCAAAAAGAGTTAATTCAACAAAAATATAAAATAATATACTTTGTCAAAATGTAATGAACATTTTAAAATACGTTTTAATGAAAGAAGTATAATAACTGTAAATGCCA